TCAAACGGGCCGGATCCGGCCCGCGGGCCGTAGTTTGCCCACAGCTGCCGTAGTTCCTGGAGAGGATTCCCAGTAGAGCTTCCCTGAATAAGCCCAGGCTGTTGAGGCTGCGGCCCTCTGCTGGCCCATGGCCAGTGGTGGAGGATCAGCCTTGCTCTAACTACATGGAATGAGGGCTCTGTGCCGAGAAAAGGAAAGGCAGGCTGAGCAGGTGACAAGAGTGGCTATTGATGACAGCCGGTATCACAAAGCAACTCCTTGCACTGTTGCCTAGTCTGCTTTGCCTGTGCTTTGAAGGGCATGAGTTACAAAGTGGGAGGATCCCTTCCGTCCTTTACACTGATCTGATCTACTTGGACACGTGGGGCACACTGGATCTCATTTTCTAGATCAAGGGCTGCTGCTCCTCCCCTCCCCTCCCCTCCCCTCCCCCGCCACACACACACACACACACGGAGGAGACAGAGGCCAGTGCACATCTCAGGCTGCCAGGGCTTTCACACACACACACACACACACACACACACACACACGCAAGAAACATAAAAAAAGGGAGGGGGGGTAGGTAATTCATAGGGTTGTCAACCTTTAAAACAAAAACAAAATAAATCTATGGCTTCATAAAATTAAGAACATCTTAAAGGGCAAGGGGGTTCTTCTGAAAAAGGTTGACTGCATTTAACCATGTGAAGAAATTAATGTCATCTAGATTAGTCTTTTCCTGAAGTGTTTTCACGGATGCGGGTCTGGTGTGGCTCACCTACTGATCTTATCGTGTGGCCCATCAGCAGCGGAGCACAGGTTGGAACCCAGGTCTCCTGCTCGCAGGTTGGCTCTCCAGGTCATATATTAATAAAATGCCAGGATTTAAATTAAAACTCCAGTTCTTTTTATCTAGAGTGTTTGTATGACATCTTGGTTCCTATATGTGAACCACAAGTAAAATTGGTCATTGGTGTCATCAAAATTTAGTTCTTTACAGTAAACTTTTTTCTTAAAGCCGATTGGTGTTTGGGAGTCTCCATGTTGTAAAACTTCCCCCTCCCTCCCAGATATATCGAGCACTTGCTGTGTGTCAAGCACTGCCAAAGGCACTGGGGATGGAACCACTAACAAGACTGAAGTCCCTGCCCCAGTACATTCTAGCGAGGAAGACAGGCAGCAAATTGAGAAAAAAATGTAATTCAATTCGTGTAAGTGCCAGGAAGGAATTTTTCAAATAATTTTGATCTGTGGATTAACTTCTTGGATAGGAATGAAGTCACACCCATTTCATACCAAACCCCATTATCTTATAAGCTTTCCTGTGTTGGGAGACTTAGCTGCAAGCAGCATGACTGGTTGGAAAGGTGAAGCAGGTGGCTCCAGGTGGAACTGGGGTTAAGAAAAACGAGGTTCTCAGGGGCCCATTTTTATCCAGCACCTGAAACAATGTGGAAAATTCAAGCGTAATCTAGGCTGGTATGGCCTAAGATTAACAGACAGCAGACAGCATTGCGGACAACAGAGGGAGTGGGGGTATAAATATGTCAGCTACTAGTGTGCATGCTTTCTTTCCCCTACCCTGCACTGAATGCTGATGCATTCGCTCAGATTCCCCCAAATCACAGTAGGTTAATTTCTATTGTCCCCACTTTACAGGTGAGGAAATCCAGTCTTAGCAGAGAAGTAAAACGACTTACCCAAGGCCATAAGGCCAGTAAGCAGTGGACTGAGGAAGTCTGGCTACAGAGCCTGTTTGCTTAGTCTTCACCATAATCCAGGATACACTGGGCCAATAGTCTCAGGGCCCCAACTAGTTAAAATGGGTTCCAGACACAAGTCAGGGCCCAGCACATAAGCCAGGGCAGCAGCCAGCAGGATAAATAGAGACACTTCGGGAGAGGCAGGCCTATGGGTGCCCAGGGCTGTTTCACTGGGCCAACAGCAGGAAGCCAGGCTAGTTCCAGACCCCAGCTGCTTTGGGTGGAAGTTGTTAAAATCTCCCTTGCCTTGCCCAGGACTTTCTTCCGGGCTCTGAGGCCACCCAGAGCTGAGCGGGGTGAGGTGGGAGGGCGTTGTTTGCCACCAGAGTGTGCCTTGATGTGCACGGTCTTTCCTCTTAGCTGTCTGTAAACAGAGTTTTGGTCAGAAGAGGGATTTCTGTCTCTGCCCCTTGCTTCCTGTGTGGGCATTGGGCACCTTACTGACTCTGGGCCCCCAGTTCTCAAACCTATAAAATGGGGATAACACTTAACAACTTCACAGGATGAGGGGGAGCTGAAAGCAGACAATATGCCATCTGTAGAGAGCCTAGCCTGCGTGTGATACACGGTAGACACTTGGAAATGGTAGTGGGGTTGCTATGATCAACACCAAAACTAACTTTGAAAACAGCCCCATTTGAGGGAGGGGGATCCGTTTTTGTTTGCCTCTGTGTTTGTTTGGTGGAGAGGGGTACGCAGGCGGGTGGTACATGGAGAAGGGATCCTGAAAATAAGCGGGTTGTATCCAGTGGTTACTGGTGTGTGTACCTCTTGGTTGCTAGATGACAGGCTGCTCTGTGGAGAAGAAACACGCCATTTCACTGAGGCCAGAATTGATGTGAGCTAGAAGCAGGGCAACTGTCTTCTAGTTGTGCCAGACAGGGCCTTCCAGGCTGAGTTCTGCAGCACCGGGCTCAGCAGAGGTGCCTCGAGAAGCCTATGAGGCTGGGCGTCTGGGTTGGTGGCGGTCTCTGTCCCCATCGCTCTGGAGGTGGAAGGGTCTCCAGGAGAACACAGGAGCTTTTGTAGCTGCCGGCCCCTCTGCCGAGCCGCTGTTCTGGGTGTCCTGGCCACATGATTTAACTTTTCCATTTGGAAGGGTTATTGGTGCAGTTGGCAGCCCCTTTCCTGGTAAACGATATGGTGGGGCCTCCATAAACCCAGACCCATGAAACGAATGAAGTCGGCACATTGAAAATACAGCGTGGAAGTGACTCAAGCCTGAAGGAATCCACTTCTGAAAGTGCTGCCATCCCTTCCTGGAATATTTTGGTGGAAATTGATGTTTGGGTTGGGAAGAAGAGGCCAGTGGCCTGGTGACTAGCAGGACCATGCGTCACATTTAGCAGCATTTGCCCCGAGACTCACCCCTGCCCACCCCAGACCTCGGGCCCTCCTTCTCATTGAGGTGGTCCCAGGCAGGTCACCCTGGTATAATAAGCCGTCTAGGGCTCCGGGCTCTGGGGAGCTGGTGCGACCCTGTCTTTGCAGCAGGTAAGGTTGACTCTACAAGTCAGCCTGGTAATGCTTGGCCACGGGCCTGGAAAGTATTGGAAACTGCTCCCAGCATGGGAGCCTGTGGGAGTTGGCCGCCATGGACGGGTTGCTCTTCTCAGAGTTCTGTGGATTCCTGTGTATTTAACATGTTTACCTTCTTCTCGGACTTCAGCTTGTACTTTGCCCACCGGAGACCAATACGAGTATATACATACTTAACTGTACTAGACCACCCTGGCGACCAGGTAATTAAAGCACGCAGATTTGGAAGGAAGGCTGTATTGGAAATCACGCTCCACTGTAATTCAAGAACAGGTTTCTTTATAGAGGGACACACTTGGTGTCAGACACATGTGGAAAAGAAAAGAACAGGCCCATAATTCTGGCAGGATACCAAGGGCCAGATGTTAAATATGCTGACCGTGATCTGGCTGTAGTTGCCGTTAGCCAGCCTGGATCTGATGTGTTATTTTAACCCCTGTTTCTGCCTTTTCCTTTCTCTCTGCCAGGTTCCCAGTCTATGTGAAGATCTCCTGTCTTCTGTTGACCAGCCACTGAAAATCGCCAGAGACAAAGTGGTGGGAAAGGATTACCTTTTGTGTGACTACAACAGAGACGGGGACTCCTATAGGTGAGCTCCTGCCCTTAGAGTGCATCAGGCATGCCAGGCTGCATCCTGGGCAGTCAGTGCCACATGGCAGCACCTGGACTACCGGACTTTGACAGGCAACAGTCTACCAACCTTCTTTACATTTGTCCTTCTGTCAGTCCTTCCTCCCTTTCTTCCTCCTTTCCTCCCTGCAATCAACCAGATGTTGTGGAGTACCTTCAGTCAGTGTTGGAGATGCAGCATGAACAGAAGGCCTCTGCCCTCGTGGAGCTTACAGTCTAATGGGAAAGGAATGTGAGCAGTTTCATTATAATTCAGTCCTGCAACAGGCAAGATACACGATGTGGACGTGATGGGGATCTGAGCACAGGGAGGGCCTGTGTGCTTAAGGGACGTTTGAATGTAGCTTTGTCAAACAAATATACAACTCTCCTTTCTCTTTTCCATCACCATGCTGAGGGCAATAAATAACTAAAGTGACATAAGCCCCTACTCTGGGTGATCACTGGTCTAGAACCAGAGATGTATCCAGCAGCTGATTATTGTATGATATGATTCATGCAGTCACTGCCAAGCTTATTCAGGGTTTGAGGATAGCATAGAAGAAACCATGGTTGAGTCCAGGAGGGCTTCCCGAAGGAGGTGATGTTTGAGCTAGGTTTTTCATAGTTTATTTATCTTATTTTTATTGATTTCAGAGTGGAAGGGAGAGGGAGAGATAGATAGAAACAACAGTGATGAGAGAGACTCATTGATTGGCTGCTTCCTGAACACCCCACACTGGGAATCGAGCTCGCAATCCAGGCATGTGTCCTTGGTCGGAGTCGAACCTGGGACCCTTCAATCCGCAGGCCAATGCTCTATCCACTGAGCCAAACTAGCTTGAGCTAGGTTTTTAAGGGTGTCTCGGGTCACTTTTTGAGCTTCAAATGGAAGTTAGGTAGAGAATGTATTTTGGCCTAATCCAAGCCAGACCAGAGACTAGAGTTGAGAGGGTGAATAGTAGTCTACTTGTAAAAGTTGAGCCAGCAGAGTTTGCAAGTGGATGGGGTATGAAGGGCAATTGCAGGGCTTTGGGCCTGAGCAGTTAGAAGGTGGGGTCACTGTTTATTGAGGTGGAGAAGACTCTGGGAATTGCTGGTTTGAGGGTATTTTAAGCTCCAGATGCCCATTAGATGAATGTGGAGATGTCCAGTAGACTGTTGATAGCCTAGCCACCTGGGCGGAGAGGGAGATGCAGGTGGGTGTCCCCAGCATAGAGTGGTGAAGGATCAGTGGTGAGCATAGGCCCAGGTCCAGTCCTCGCTGGGAACCTCCTAGGAAAGGGAGGACCGGCCCTCAGAGAGGAAGACCCTTGAGGTCCTAAGGACAAGCAGCCTCACCAGGCAGAGTTCAAAGGAGGCTTCCTGGAAGAGGTGAACCTTGAACTGAGTCATGCTTAAGATCATTATGTTTCTTTTTCCACCTGAAAACTCCAGCTTGCTGTGTGAGGCAGCTATTCCCCAGCAGCCTGTGGGAGGCTGGGATCATTTCCACGTCCATGCCAAGGCCAAGATACCGGGGGACTTGGTGCCTGCCTCCCCTTCAGGTCATCTTGCCAGCTCCAACCTTCGTTCCTCAGGCATTGCAGAGGGGCCCAGGGACCTCAGCTGAAGAGGAGCCCGGGGTGTCAGAGCCCAGGACTTTTCTTCCGTTTTCCCTCTTTTGATACAAAACTTCAAGGTCTTCTGATTTTCTCCACACATTTCCATCCTAACTGTTTGATCGTTTGCTTAAATAAGATCCTTATGGTGTGGCCGTTGCCAGCAGCACTGTTTGAAACCTGTTAGCTGAAACAAAAAGCTTTCTCTGAGGGAAATGAAAGGCCTGACTTTTGAAATCTAAGTGTTCCTGTCCATCTGTCTTTTTTCAAATTGCCTCCATTTAAGCTCTTAAATGTGTTCTGAGTGCCCCTTCCACTAAGAATATTCTGGGTAATGTTATGATTTCCCCCCAGCTACAATTACCCCGGCTCCAGGACTAGCAGCTTGAAATGCTGTCGTCTGTGAGCCAGGAGAAATGTGAGTTAACAGGCTTCTTGAAAATTCCAGGCCCCCAGTCTGCAAGAAAGATGGGCTCTAGTGTCTAAACAGGTCGCCTTTAAATGAGAGCCAGTTGGGGCGGGTCTTCCAGGCCCACAAGAAGACGATGGCCATTTAACTCAGGAAACGAAGGGCTGAAGGCCAGAGCCTGAGTGTATTGAGGAGACTCGAAGAGAGCACCTGCAGGGGAAGGGGGCTCGGATTCTCGCTCTCAGATTGTTTTCCACACCCACTGACGAGTGGAACTACCAAGCCTAGTTTTCAAATCGGGAGGTGACTGCGCCCTTCAACTGCACCTTGTCT